AATGAATGAATGAATGAATGAATGAATGAATGAATGAATGAATGAATGAATGATGACCACACTGGTGTTAGTACAGGTCACAACAAAACTCGATGAACAGATGAAGTTAAAGGTACAGAGTGAAACTGCAAGTAACTACCATTACATAAATTCAACTTCTCGCTTTTCAGTTATTGTAGAAATAACAGAACAATCTGTTCCTTGTCTATAATGAGCACAATGAGCACAATATCGTGCCACCCCCATATTTACTAACATGCGAACTGATAGTGACTGATTGAATTAATTAATTAATTAATTAATAAATGAATATCAGAATGAACGAAGCTTTAGTAACGTGTTTTCCGCTTCATGTGCCCAGCCGTGTGGGCTGATAAGACACAACAAGAATACTAGAAAGGCCGACATTTGCTGAGGAGCAAATGCAGCATGGCTTCACCACATCCCCCGCACCACATCCCCCTCCCGCACAAATGGGCTGTTCCTAAATCACGCCTGTCCAAAATGTGTTCCAAAAAGTCTTCCAATAATCTAAACCGATGATTTGGGTGTAATACTAGGACCCCAAACGTACAGTTTCTGTCGGAAAATGAAAAAAAACATTCTTAAAGGCTGTATCCAAACAATGAAGAAAAAAACGCCTGGGCTATTTGCCCACTCTACCTCCATGCTAAATTTCAGGTCATTTGGCTGAAAATGGTTTCGTGGTGTGGTGAAGCCATAACAATATGTTTGACAACACCACTTCGTAGTGTGTTGAAGCCATAAATACGTGATGCATAAATCGAGACAACAGCGGTACAGATTGAAATAATCAACGAAAAAACTGAACAAAATATAAATAAAATGCAATGCAGGTGCACATAGTGAACAGTTCTTGGAGTGAGATGTCAAATAATAGATGCAAATAAATAGAGCTCGTAGTAAATAAGCAGAGATTTCACCTAAGTCAGTTGTCATCTCATCATCGTCCGGCTGTACGATACCTGTAATATTTAAATTTGTACAGGGCTACCCGCTTGGCTACTACCAGCAGGCTTTGCGGGTGCATGACCGATGGATGGTGACGCACGGAGAGGCCCTGGTGGTCGCTGGAAGGCGAGTAAAACAGGTAGAACGCAAATTTTCCTTTCAGCACGATTGGTCAGTATTTTCAGTCAAACCATATCATATCATATCATGGTACGTGTGTCTGCCATATTGGAGCAGCGCGGAGAAGACCGAGGTGTGTATCTGAAGGCCCTGTCACACATAGTCGAATACAGCCTCCCGAACACTAACCGAACTCCCTCCAACCATGGTTAGAAGTAGGTCAGGAGCAACGTCGGCTGTGTTCTAGGCGTGTTTGGGTACGTGTCAAATTTGATTCAAATTCGACTAGAGTCGTACAGAAAGGTAGGCGTGGCCTTAATGTGGTCAGACTGCTCCCGAGCTTTTAGCCAACCATTGGGTGGGGGGTTCTAAATATATGAGGGGGGCTTCAGCATTTGGGTTCTGGGCTGGTCTGTGGACGCGTTGTTTGCAAAACTGAACGTCGTGGGTTTTTTTTTCTCGAAAAGTTCGGCAGCTATATATATAAAAGCCAATTTCAATGTCGCTATTTTGTAGAGTTGTTTATTAATTCATCCTACGCGTTGTTTCCCACAGGCTGGAAGTACATCTCCACAGAATGTCGTCCGCCGCCGCATTAAGAGGAAGGCCATCAGGAGTCAGCACATGCGATGGCCTTACGCCACCATTCCATACATATTCGACCAAGATTTTAGTGAGTCGAAGCACTTCTTTATCTTTTGATATCATGCAAGTCTTTGACACATCGATTCCTATGATCACAGTGTTCATCATCATCGTGGTAACATTGTCATTCTAATTATTACTATGACCAACATATTCAACAAAACTTGTATCAATTGTGTCGCATCTGTTTTCACCTGTTGAACTTTTCTATCCGCCTGCAGGTGACTCCGATAAGGACATTGTTCACCAGGCCATGCGGCGGTGGGAGGAGCACACGTGTCTGAAGTTTGTAGCCAGAGACAACCCTCAGGAAAACATACTAGCGATCAACAACTACATCCACTTTGTCAAGAGTGGCGGGTCAGTGTTCTTAATAGACGACGTCATTATAATCAATTGTGTAATAATATTGGAATGTCATCAAGCAAGTGCTAAAATACAAAATGCATCATTAAACTAGAGTTCCACGATCTCATACCTTCTCCAAGTTATTTTTCTCATTGTCTTCGTCAGAAAGATTATGGAATTGTCTCGCCGCATTGTGGGTGACTGCGGATTTAGCAAAATAACTCTTGAAGGCATTATTTGACGTCATGATTTTTGGCAGGCAGATTACCGTTGTTGAGACCAATGTCAAGTGCAAGTTTGGGCTTCGTGGGAGGTCCGCACGTCACTGCAGTGGACTTTTTGTGTTTGTGGCTTGTGAGCAAAATAACTGTATATTTGAATAGATGCTCATGATTTTGGTAGGCAAGCTACCATTGTAGAGACCAAGGTCAAGTTCGAAAACGGGCCTCGCGGGGGGTCCCTATGTCGCTGCAGTGGACCTTTTGTGTTAGATATATAATGGACTTCCCCCACCAACCTCTGCATCGATTTACAAAACTGTCTCTAAAACTCTAAAACTCAAACCTCTGCATCGATTTACAAAACTGTCTCTAAAACTCACCCACCGTCGAGTTATGTTCGCTGGACATTGTTTCCGAGCCAAGCAAGAAATTGTTTCATCTGTACTCATGTGGAAACCACGTGGACGAGTGCACTCCAGAAGTTTGACATTCACCGATACCTTAGTTAGAGACACTGGAATTGACTTTGATGACTTAGAAAATGTAATGCTTGATAGGGCTGTATGGAAAGAAATCTGCATTAGCTTAGTCCCGGCTGTTAGCCGATAGATGATGATGACATGGGGGGAGAGCTGTCCCCGCATCTGGGATCAATTGCTTAGAATTAAGGGACTGTCCTATAAATACTGGGGAGGGGAGAGGAAAAGTTGGACATGCGTCAAGCAGGTCATTCCCTAAATTGTAAGGCCAGACCAAGTAATTTTTATGGATGACGTCCACTGGAGACCTTAAATTTATTGCAAAAGCGCGATAAAATACATGAAGGGCAAAAAAAACTGATTAAGATGCATAGATTTGGAACATACTAACTGTGGAAATACTAAGGTTAGGACGCAAATTGAATAAAAGAACATAGTGTAACAACAAACGAAAACAGCAATAAATCTCCCCCTGTTCTGATTCTTTCCTTTCATCACATCTCATTACATTTTGCGACAATGTCGGAGTACAGAGATTCTTTTGTACTCTAGACCAATTTGATTTGTAGTATTAAAAACGTTCCTTTATCTAGAACAATGTCCCTCTGACGAAGGCATGAGATCTCCGACCTCTAGTTGATAATGCAAATAATTTCCTTATTTGCCTGAATTATATAATGAATCATATCATGAATTGTTCTTCAACTAATGACAGTCTCGTATTATTAAAGAAGGCCATTCTAGCATTTCCTCATACATTATGCAAATGAGGTCCTAATTTTGATTATTTTTGTTTAATGATGTTCACCTTCACTTAAATTCCAAATGTCGTGAGTATAAAATTCCCGACAGCTACCACCATGGATTTACAGCATTGTCTCATTAATTACGCAAATTATGCAAATTACATAATTGATATCTGCTGATGTTCCTTGACCTTCCAAGACAGCCCATCAGAGCCTTCTTGAGGTATCTTGTTCACAGACACACACACGCGCGCGCACACACACTTCCCCCCCCCACACACGACACACACACACTCCCACCACACACACACACACACACACGAACGCCTCCGAAAAGATAACCTTCTTGGTGTGATAATAAGGTAATAATAAACCACACCACTGTTCTATGCCCACAGCTGTTGGAGTAAGGTGGGGATGTTCTGGTGGACTCCTGAGCAGAAATTGTCGCTGGATAACGAGTGTCTACAAAACAAAAACGGGGTAAGTGCGTTGTAAATTATTTTAAGGTGATTCTATGATGGCCTGCGTTGTGTTAGACTATGTCCATTCGATTAATGGCAGTGATAAATTTTTCCACGCGCGGTCACCTTCTCCATCCCTGTATCTGCTGCAGGTCGCTATCGCCATGCATGAGATCGGACACGCCATCGGGTTCTTCCACGAGCATGCGCGGCCGGACAGAGATGACTACGTCACAATAGAGTGGGACAACATCCGCTGGGGCAGGTGGGTTTCAACATGGCTCCCAGTCTGGATATTTTGGATGAAACCGCGATATTTATTTGGAGAAAATACAAAATTCAATGATAAGCACGTTTATTAAATGGCGATATTGGAAGAAGTTAACAGCAACCTAATGGACTTCGCAGGTTTTACCCTGTACCTTGTATAAGGACTTGCAAACTACATCATGATATTCTGGATATTTGGTAGGGTTTGCGATGTACATTTTAAAACATCACGTCTCTCCTTACCTTGTTTTGCAGATACCGCCATTTTTCAAAGTTCTACTGGAACATGATCGAGACGTTTGACATCCCGTACGACTACCTGTCAATCATGCACTACTCAGACAACGTAAGCAGGCCAGGGTAATCATGCAAGCGCCAAAAACATGTTACAGATGAATAGCAAAGTTCTTTGATCACAACCATTTATTTTACACGAGCCGACGTTTCGATGACCGTCTGTCATCTTCATCAGGCCAATTCTGACTGGTTTACTGTGCACTGACGCTAGATGTTACTTGGTGAAAAATAAATGGTTGTGATCAAAGAACTTTGCTATTCATTCGTTTACCAACCTGATGAAATAATTTACGAACATGTTACAGAGTTTGCGAATTCTTTCTAGCTTGTTTGTAGCTTTTCGTTAATAGGATCCTAGGATTTGGGATAAGGTTGCAGGGGCACGACATTCTGGTAGGTTGCAACAAAGTGATATTACAGTTTACAAACCGACATTTCGGTTACTGTCACCTTCCTCATGATCAAAGCAATACTGTCTGGTTCTACTACGCACTGCAATTAAGCGCTAAGAGTCGGCTTGTAAACTTCTTTCGTTATGAATAAAGAATTTTGAAAAATTAAAGAAAAATTATTCACGCATTATCGACATTATATTTTACATTGTTCCAAACAGAAATAAACGCATGATCTACTAGTCTGACTATCCCGATGATTCTGATGATAAAAGTTAGATTTTTGTGTGTTATTTTCGTCCCAATAGGAGTTTTCGTGGGACTCTAAGACCCTGCGCACCATCAAGACACGTGACCCATCCTTCCAGAACATCATCGGCCAGCGGATCTCCCTGTCCTACTACGACATCAAAATGACCAACGACATGTACAGCTGCGCAGGTAAACTAGATTCAGACTGTATACTATGTAGGTCATATATTTGTGTTGGTTGCTCGACGTGGGTTCTTTTGTAGGCGGCGTCTGGTGGTCATTGCAAGTAGCCTGTGGTCTGTGTTCCCAAACTCCGCGGTGTGGTACACACGGCAGTAAGAGAAAGTGTGCCAACGCCGACTGGTGAGGATGTGGTTGACTTCTTTGGTGGTATGGCCATCGTTGCTGAAACTACCCATGGCCAAGTCATCATTTACAACATGCCATATTTGGTTTTGGTCCATTACGTTTATCATTGACCCCCACGTGTCAAGTCAATGCACCAAAATGTTGCAAAAATCATTGTTCTTCTACATAAGTGTTATTACTGTTATATCCTACGTGTTTTGAGTAGATGAATTACGTAAATGGTTTTCTATGATTCTGATTATTTCACGTTTCCGCGTTCCTTCGATCATCATCAACTGAGACAGTTTTTGCTTGGCTTGCAGCCCGCTGCCCGTATTACCAGCGGTGTACGTACCCGAACAGCTTCCTGGGACCGACTTGCCGCTGCCTGTGTCCCAACTATCACGGGTTAGGCGCCAAGGAATGTCCAGTCAACAACGCTATTCAGGTGGTACATGGTTACGGTGGCCATTACTTAGGTAAGCGTGTGTTTTCTCAGATATTTAAAAAATAGATAATAATTATATGAATGATAATAAATGACCATTCCCAGAACTATACAAAACTATACATACCACAAACTTTGGTCTTTACCAAAGCTTGTGGTATGTGTAGTTTTGTATAGTTCTGGGCTTATAATCTGGGATCAAGTGCTTTGATGATAAGTGCATAATAAATGGAACAGCAATCAATGATACGTTGATTGGGGTCCAAGTACATCGGAGCCCTCCTTGCCACTACCCAAGGGATAGTGGCAGTTCCTACTGTATTGTCTTACCACAGGAACTATCTTACACTTATTTATATAACAGCCCTGGACATTTTCAACCGTTTTTTCCAGTTCATTTACATATAAGAAGTGTTTACTAGTTTTGTTGGTTCATTTTAGTGACGCTAAAGATTGATTGATGATGATGAGTGATGGATGTAACTCGAAACGTCCGGATAATAATAATTTCCGCAATTTATAGAGTAGTAGAGTTTGAATTGTCTTTGAACAACCAGTGATGCTCAATTGTAATGAAAGATGATGGGTCAGCAAAGTTTTTTTTTAGAATCAAATCAAATTCAAACCAATTTTTAATTAAACTAGAAGCTTGAAATCTATCCTTGTGCAGCATATAAAATAAGTAACTCTCTTCAGAACCTTGATTCTTGCTTGAATCTCAGTATGTTTACCTTCCAGATTGCTACGAGGGCACTGGAACGACGTACCGGGGCACCCGGAGCTGGACTCGTAGCGGGCACACCTGCATGAACTGGGCGAACACACTGGACCGTGACGTGTCCATCCTCACCTACCCGAACTCTGCCGGCGGGATAGGGAACCACAACTACTGCCGAAACCCGTACGCGGGCAGCCCCCAGCCCTGGTGCTATGTGTCGGACATCCGGGTCTTCTGGGAGTACTGTGATATCCCCAGGTGTCAATGAGAGCTAATCACCACGCATGGCACACGGCGCAGAACAACTCCTGTACCTCATGTCATCAGCAACAAACATCAGACCTGGACATATGAGAAAGACCACTGGTCTTACTCACATGGCTCGGCGTGCCCTTCCCGCTGTAGAAATAAATGCTGAGTACAGACATTCTGAAAAGAGAAGAAGGCACTTCGTTTTGACTATGGTGCTAAGAAGACTTCTTTCGCGGGCGAAAGACAACGCGGCGATGTATAGACCATCATGTCTAGGAACGCTTTGTTTTGACTCTCCTATCCTTTATTATATGGTAAAAATACATATTATGACGTCCTAAAGTTCTGCCCTAAAAGCTTTTTCAACTTCGGCAGGATGGTTTGATAATACCATATGGGTTAAATGCTCTGAATTTTTTAAGACCAAAAGCGCATAGGGTAGAAGAGGACAGGGTAAGGTTTTGATCTATTCATTCAGTATTAGGGTGAATTACAACATTTAGTTTAGTTTAGTTTAGTTTAGTTTAGGTTATATATGCAACGTACAGCTCCTCCTATAATGTTGATTAACATGTTATCTGTTTAGAATGATGCTGATGCTGACATCCGTCTATCTTTCTATGTATGTATGTATGTATCTCTCTCCCTCTCTCAATATGCGCGCGCGCGTGTGTGTGTGTGTACATGTCATACATAATCATAAAATCATAAAATGTCGAATGGATCCCATGTATTATTTTCTCGTCATTTGACGAGTAGTAGATGCATCAGGGGTTTTGTGTCAACAATGGATACTTTCTTCTTTTATAACAGTTTCTTTTATTGTTTTGTATATTTTGTTACCTCCATGAAAAATGGAGGTATTGTTTTTGGCTCGTCTGTCTGTGTGTCTGTCTGTGTGTGTGTGTGCACGTATGTGTGTGTGTGTGTGTGTGTGTGTGTGTGTGTGTGTGTGTGTGTGTGTGTTTGTGTTTCGGCACATTTGTAGTCAGCATAACTTCATAACGCCTTTATGGATTGTGATGATATTTGGTATGCTGGTAAGTCTTAGGACGACGAAGGTCAAGGTCAAATATGGGCCTCCTGGTGGATGACCTTGGTACTGCAGCAGAACTTCCGGTTTTTGTATCTTTTGTCCTAAACATACTATGGTCTTGAATTTTTGGCGACAGATACCTTTTCCTGTCAGGAATAAGTGGTGTTGGTTTGGTCCCCCTAGCAGCTTGTTCTGGAACTGCAGGGGACCTTCGGGCGAAATCTTTGAAAGCCAATAAGTCTAGATCTCTGTCACGACCAGTGGAAGATTAGCTCTTCAATGAGCTAAACTGAATCGAGATCACTTTCACTTTCACTTTTTTTTAGATAGGAACAACGTATTTTCATCATTTTTGGTAGGTAGGTAGCTGAGAGAGAGAGATGTACATAATTAAATGCAAATTATGCAAATGAGGACTTTATTTGCATAATTAATGTGGAAATTCTATAATCACAGTGTTTTACATTATAGTACTTTCATACATGTAATGTATGTAACCTATGTCAGATGGCAGATGGAACATCAACAGATACTAATTATGCAAATGATGACCTATTTTGCATAATTAATGCGAAAATTTTATGATTTCTTAATGGTGAATGATGGGAATGTCATTTTTGGGACATCTGTAAGTTAATCAAAAGTTAACATCACGATGCATATATTATGTTAAAGCAGAGGTCATTTGCGTAATTAAAGAAGAAATTTACATTTACATATCAATCCCATATTTCATGGAGGTATGAGATCTCGGAACTCTTGTTTTACTCCTGTATCCAAATAATGAAAAAACATATCCAAAAAAAATGAAGAAAAAAAACGTCTGGGGTATTTGCCTACTCTACCTTCATGCCAAATTTTATGTTATTTGGCCCAAAAATGGCAGAAGAGGAGGAGATACATGAGAGAAAACAATATGTCTTCACCACACCACTTCGAGGCTTCACCATCGTGGTGTGGTGAAGCCATAAATTTAAATACGCTCTTGTGCGAATTCTTATTTACTGTTACACCCTCACTCATTATAAGCAGCATTTTTGTCTTCATTAGAATTGAGGCAACACGTGTACAAACATTTTTATTGTAATCTGTTACGACCATGAAACCAGTAAAACATACAAAAACTGATCATTGTGAAAATATCACCAAGTATCGATTTAGTAACAACGTAGTTCTTTAGCCCTTTAGTACTGTTTCACACCTTACATATAATGCCTCAAATTCACAAGGACGTTTGTCATCTCTTGCTTCCTGGCAAGCCATATAACGTGGCGACAGCATATGCATAACAAAGATAATCGAGTCCCATTGTAAACACAGTATAACTCGTATATGTATGAGTGCAACAATATACAGAGTATACAGAGACACATTGGATTCATGGTTGAGGTAATAGGATGACTGTGTGAAATTCACATGGCTGTTGTTTTTTTCACCGTGTACATGTAGCTTGTTTCTTTCGCCTGCGAAAGGCATCATAATCTTCATATTTATAAACCAACCCTGAACAAAATTAAACACTGCACTAGCCCTCAATATATAAGTATTTTTTGACCCTGGAGCTACCTACAGGGCAATATGGAGAGTAATTTGACAGTTTTTTTGACAGTTTCGGATTTTCTTTTTTGTCATACCGACGTTTCTCTAGCCGACCATGAATGTTCATCTGCGTTCACTTGATATGTGGCAAATAAACCGAAATGTCAACCGTTTCACCTTATGGCTTCCTTCATCACAATGAGTGACCCACTTCTTTGGACATGTGACCTGATGAACCCATAACTCCAGGAAAAGGCATGGAAGCAGCACATACTGCGCCTGCGCGAAATTCAGAACGTAATGTGCATAGCACTTCCACATATCGTTTAACGTCCTGTTCAAATATAAAGTTTTCAAATGATGTGTAGGAAAATACATCGGTCATAATTCTGACGCAACATTGACCAAACATCCAACAAAAACCGTGGCTTCGCGCAGGCGCAGTGCGTTCTGCCGACGTCTGGGCTCGGAAGGTTATACCCTGTCATGGTTCAGTTAGTTACTGAGGTAGCGTACATTTTTGTTCACCAACGATAGCCGGCGGTCTCTATGGACGCGTTCCAATAGCTGGATGCTTTTCTGCTACAGCTAATGACAGCACATTTCTCCAAGTTTTTTTTCACATTCAAACCATGCACGCAAAACAAACTAAATCGCACACACAGAAACAGTCATTTGGTTCCTCTTGGTAACAAATTCCGAGGATATCACACCACCCTGATAATTTTACTTGTATTTACATACAAACATACATAGTAGAGTCAATAGTATAGACAACATCATCCTGTCTATAGCGGAACAGGATCATATAATAGTACTTTTTTTCCTATTATATAAATCTATATTTTCTGTTGTTGACAGAATGCTCCTGTCAATAGTGCAAAAATCATCCTGTCAATATATGACAGGATGATTATTCAAGTTTTGAACGAGCCAAATTCTAAGCAAGGTTATTAGAACATGAAAGGCAAGTATGAAAGGATTTAGGACTGTTTTGATATCGCATATATGTTCTATTTTATTTTCACCACGAAACTTACTCCAAATAGTCATCCTCTAAGTCTAACAGTGAGTCCCATCGCCAGCATATGACTGCTGCCAGGATCAGACAGGTAGCTAGCGAGAACACCGTGGCAGGCAGGCCCGCCGAGAGAAGAGGGACCAGGCGCCGCAGATCGCCCCCTGCATGCACGAACCGCGGACCGCTCTTCCCCACCCGTGCCGCCCGAACAGCACGTCGAGCCCGAACAGTACACCGGCGGCGGCGGGTGAGGGGGGGGGGGCGAGCGGTCCACTCGTCTCGACCACCGGTGCCACACCAAGTCCGTCGCTGCCGTAGACGCACGCCAACAAACACAGGTTTTCAACCATTAGCATTGCTAACAAAGCATTGTAAAGATCTTGTATATAGTGTACTACTGACAGGATAATCCCGTCGATAGTGCATTTGTTTGTTATTTACAAGATGATCCTGTCAATAGCCTTAGGCTACACATTATATATACACGGTATATAATAAACCAATGCCCTGTGGTAATTATAATAGATACAGACAAGAACTTGATAGGAGAGAACATCACACAGATATTGGCTAGAAAGTGAACATTGAGGTCACACTAAGCAGCACATCGGCAGAACGTACTGCACCTACGCGAAACCCGTATCGTGCAAAGCAGTTCGGAGAACGTCTCATTTAAGGTCGTATTCGCCTAATTAAGGATAACAAACCGTCTAGTTTTCAATGTTGTGTCAAAAAAGATATCGTCTTTTGAAGCAACTTTGACCAAACATCTAACGAGAAACATGAAATATCCGGGCTTCGCAGTACGTTTCTAATGTGCTTGCTCTAGTGACATCTTTTATTAATAATCACATCGAGGTATTTCGCAGTACTCCCAGAAGATCCGTATATCCCCCACGTAGCACCAGGGCTGCGGGCTGCCCGGGTACGGGTTCCGGCAGAAATTGTGGTTTCCTATCCCTGCAGAGCCGTGCGGGTACGACAGGGTGGACACGTCACGATCCAGCGTGTTGGACCAGTTCAGACAGGCGTGGCCGCTCCGCGTCCAGCTGCGGGAACCTCTGTACCTGTTCCCGTTACCTTGGTAACAGTCTGCAGACGGACAGGAGGAGAATAGTTTCAGTTTAGAGAACTTTAGAATAAGGGCCTGGTCATCACATTTGTCGTACGATCGCAAAATGAGGGCATTGGGATAGTCGTGCATGTGACAAAAGTCAGCTGACGCAGGTTTAAAATCGGTGTCTTAGGATGTCTCCTTCCCCGGAGGTAATTACAGTGGTATACGAGTCTTGAATCTTATTGTATCTACAAAATTATGACTGATGTGTATGTATTCATTTTAAACGCAATGTACTCATGAGAAACGTACCTAGTCTGTGCCTGTGTGGGCCGTACCCGTGCACGATCTGTGTGGACTCGTGCGGACACTCGGTTGTGCCAAGCCCGTGGTACCCGGGACACATACACCGGCACGTCGGTCCCACGAAACTGTTGGGCTTGGTACACCTCACGTACGAAGGGCAGCGCGCTGTAAGACGGAGGAAACAAAGCAATAGATACCTAACAGACATTAAACATGTGGCTGTGCTGAAAGATTATCATTTCTTACAATCAGCAGTCTCCTAAATTTATCGTTGAATAATAAATTGACAACTAGAGTTGAAAAGTGCTCTAGGAATGCATGGCTGAGAAGAATTGGGTCAACATTTAATTGCATTCAAAGCAAAGAGCTCATATCTTGACAACAAATAAACAAACATGTAAACCCACGCACCTGCACAGTTGTACATCTGATTGGTCATTTTGATGTCCAGGAATGACAAGGAGATCCTCTGTCCGATGATGTTCTGGTAGGCAGGGTCACGTGTCTCTATCGTGCGCAAGGTGTGCGCATTCCAGGAAAATTCCTGATGACACATAAGGGGGCACTCAAAAAACAACGCCGTCTATGCTTTACTTCGCAACATTCCAGACACAAAGATAGTCAAAAATATAAAATGTACATGACATCGGGTCCCAAAATGTACTGCCTGATCTTATTATTGAGAAAGTAAAAGGACATCATGGAGCATACGGACTTTCTTATGCTTGATTTGCAATATATTGATTTGTATCCGATTTTAATTGTATCTTCGACTGCTATTATGTTTTTAACCGTGAAATCATCATTTGTAGTCAATTAGAGTATTGTACTTTTTATGATTAATATTTGATTTAAGTTGAATAGAGAATGCCACCGTTTATTGGCTCCCCCTGCAATTAAAAAATACTTAACTTCGCTTTTATTGTTTTGTATGTGCGAATAAACAAACAAACAAACAAACAAACAAACGGTAAATCTGAGTTGGACTTACATTATCTGCGTAGTGCATGATGGACAGGTAGTCGTAAGGGACATCAAACGTGTCAATCATGTTGTAGCCGAAACGGAAGAAGTGGCGATACCTGGGAAAGGAACATAAATGAAACATTTAAACACTCTGGTTTCTTCTAAATTGCTGATGTCAAGAAAATAGATTGCAGTGGTCTTGAAGAAAGAAGGAGGATAATTTATACAAATAATGTAAAGTCGTCTCCCATACCTGCCGTGAATGTTGTATGTCTAGTTCTTACCTTCCCCAGCGTATATTGTCCCATTGTATCGTGACGTAATTGTTTCGATCCGGTCGCGCATGCTCATGGAAAAACCCAATGGCGTGTCCCATTTCGTGAACAGCAATGGCGACCTAGATATCCAGGCAAGAGACAAACAGATTTTAATAGGCTTCAAAAACATCTACTGGTTGTAATGCAGCAGTTGATAACAGTGAAACCGTTATGAGAATGCCTAGCTGACTAAAAGGCAGCTACGCTTACCGCGTATTTGCTCTGTAAACATTCGTTGCCAAGCGAAAGCTTCTGTTCAGCGGTCCACCAGAACATGCCCACCTTGCTCCAACAGCTGCAACAGAAGTACATCTGCCAGTTACGTGTGACGATTCATTCGCCAAATGTTAACCTTTATGACTGAGAAATTATATATTAATCCCCTGATTATGCAAATATGATCCCAAATTGCATAAATTAATTCAGTTGATCATATTCTACACCAAAAGACAGTATTATCTTCACCAAGAATGCTATTATAGCATTTCCTCATAAATTATGCAAATGAGGTCTTTATTTGAATAAGTTATGTTTAATGATGTTCACCTGCACTTAACTTTCAAATGCCCAAGTATGAAATTTCAGGCAGTTACCACAATGGAATTTTAACATTTTCTCATTAATTATGCAAATTAGGTCTTCATTTGCATAATCGATATCTGCTTGTGTTTCTCTCGTTCCAGAGCAAGCAGATAGGGGGCTCAAACTCATGTCACTTCATCCGCAGCAGAAGAGCTATCTACCATCTAAATTTCGTGACCCTAGCTTGTCTAGATCACGAGATATCTAAACCGGAAGTTCAGCTGCAGTACCATGACAAGCCGCCAGGTAGCCCAAAATCTAATCATTTTGAGCTACCCACCTACCAAATATCAAAACAATCCATCAAAGCCTTCTTGAGTTATCCGATTGTTCACAAACACACACACAGACACACGAACGCCCCTGAAAACATAACCTTCTTGGCGAAGGTAAATAAACAAGTCAAGTCAAGTCAATCTTTATTGCACAACAATTGTAACGGGTACAATGCATGGCAAAGTCTTCAGTACTACATATCTAGCTAGCATCTACTCTCACGTCTACAGTATTACCTACAAGTTCTATGTATCGAAAATAACATTCTATGTCAAAAGTTGATATAGTACATGTATATATATGGAACATGGCTGACATGATAATGTACAAGTTTTTATATATGACTGTATAGACTAGAGTGTACATCAGTTGGTTGTGTCGGATATGATATGATTTCTTTTAACTAAAGCTTTGGATATATACTGGCCTATGTACAGGGAAGTTTCGTCAGAACATGACATGAGAAGTGTAAAAGTATCTGAGATTGTTTTAGGTAATGTTATATGTGCCTTGTTGGTGATCGCATTCATAAGTGTTTCTCTTTCTTCGGTGTAGGAAGGACATGATAACGTACAGAAAGTGCATTTCATCTTCTACAGTATATTTGTAAGTAGGACATCGTCTGTGAGTGGCTGGTACATCGTTATAACGACCTTTTTCTATTTCTAAACAGTGTGCGCTGATTCGCATTTTGGTTATGTTGGTAACAAAAGATTTGTTATGGATGGACGAAAGGGAATTTTTTAAAAATAAAGTCAGTTTTGAATTTAGAATAGGTTTGCAGTTTGCTGTAATTTCTGATGTTCTGCCTCCAGCCAGAAACAAATGTGTCTTTCAGACGTTGTTTGAACTCGTTTCCAAAATGTTTGGCGTTAACTGCTGGGTTTAACCAAACATTTTGGAATCCATGTCTACATAACATATATTTTACATGAGCAACCCAATCATGGTAAATATACATATACCTATATCATTTTCTGATTACTTGGATGTACACCGTCCAGTCACGTGGTCTGTATATTAACTGCCAGGTCATGACCTTATCAAAGCTGAAGAAAGATGGCGAATGCCACTTTTAAAGTTCTCAAACTCAAAGCTAACGTTTTTGTTGTAAATAATGTTAAGTCCTTTATTTCATATGTACGCCGTTTTTTATTTATAGAACCTAGCATCTATCGCACTCACCCCCTATCCTTGACAAACTTGATGTAGTTGTCTGTGGGCAGATGTCTGGCCTGTGGGCTCCCCAGGGCCACGAATTTTAGACACGTGTGTTCCTCCCAGTGTCTCATGGCTTTGATCACTATACTCTGGTCATAGCTACCTACAATAGGAAAAACATGCGTGATGCAAAATGAGCTACGTCACATACAAGAAATGTAACGTCATCAGTTGCGATGATATACTTTCGCCATGTATATAAACGTTTTTAGTGATACATTTCAAGGGTATTTGTACAGATACCGGTGTAGATATTTCTTTACTTTCCAATGTCTTGACAGAGCTTGCTTTGTCAATGAAACTTTCCTGTTTTTTGTAACTCGATCTATATCGTTCCGCTCCACTTAACTAAGTGTGCCAGATTGAGAAGGTTCTTTTCTTAATTGCCCAAGAACTGAACATTTTACACATTTAACACTATAGACAAGACACTACTTGAAACTTACTGAATGTAACATCAAAAGTGTATGGAATGATGCCATGTGGCCACCGCATGTGCGGGCTCCGGATGGCTTTTCTTTTCCGTCGATGGTGAATCGCATTGTTGTCTATCGTGTTGTCCTCCTGTGTTGCAAAGAAAATAATTGATGTTAGTTACTTACTGTTGACAGCCGATTGTCAGAAGATGCATTGTAAGCAGTCAATACAGTAGCAGACTAGCGGGCCCTTTGTCACGGAAATTAGCGAAATATATGTCTTAACTCCTATCCAGAAACAGCAACTTGGATAAAGCAACTCAACTGAATACTGAGAATGGAATGATACAAAGTTTTATCTTCTTTGACCACAAACATTTTCCTCAATTAAAAAAAATGGACCAAATTTGGGGACTTTGAACAATCTATAACAGAAACGTCTCGTGTTTACAGACCAGGAAGAATTAGTCGTGATGAATGAACAGACTGTGCCGTTCTCACTGAGATTGAGCTGCTGAACTGAAGACTCAACAAGTAGTCCAGGAGACATCATGGATATGTTATTTTTTCTTTAATTAAAGGATAGCAAACAATGTTTGCAAGGAATAAAAATAATATCCTCTTGTAAGCTCTCGAAAAAATATAATTTTCTTTCAATAGAGAGGATATTCCAAAAGCGTGCTATAACGCCAATATCCTGTCCTGACATCTCGCGAAATCTCGCGAGACGGACTACTGCAGCTGAAGTTGGGATTTACGAGAGGAAAGTGTGCGATCTGCCTGTGTCACGCGTTTCCCGACAACCACCACGGCAGCCCCCTGCGTCGTCCAATCGTCATGCGTTCTCAGCGCCTCCTGGTAGTGACCCAGTGGATAGCCCTGTAGAAACACACCGGATGAAAAGAATGTATTTTCTGGGAAGTGTTTTGAGTAACTGTTAATAGTTTTGAACTCTATTTTAATAATCATGGGAATACCTGATTGAATTACATCACATGATAGATACGTATAGTTGTATGACGTAATTAGTCAATGATTACATAGTACACATTACTGCCACCTACAGCAGCCCGCCTGTGTGGTTTTCTTCTGGCTTATCAGGGTTGTTAGATGTATCATCCCGAGAGCTGATTTTGGCGAGATATTGCTGTTTGTACATGTAATTCCTTTTGGCAGCGAAACTGAATACTTTGCAAGATCCCCTTCACTCAACAAACGAAGGGATTTGCTGCTTGAGCAAAATCCTATGAATTACGAGGGGTTGACTGATAGAAGGGCAGCCAAATCGCCACTGCAACATCTAAAGCTCTGGGCTGATGTTGGCAAACACGGATAGAAGGGAGTCGATCATTTGTTTGACAGGAAACAGCCAAAGGGCATCTGATTCCAGGCAGTAGCCAGACAGGTCTGGGATAACTGAAAACATCAGTTGACAATCAACTTTGAACAGCGGCTAACAATGCACAGGCAGGAACTCGATCGAAAACACCAGCATCAGTACATTATGTTCGTTTCCTTTCGAGTCTAGTCGAGACCATGTACGCGTACGTCAATCAATAAGCAATTAGTCTGTTTCAAACGTTTCCGTATTGCTCAGTTCTTTCATTTCTAGTAAGGCCATGTTGATTTGATTATATGGCTGACATGCGCGCACATGAATTTTCGTCCGTTTCAAAAAAAATTAAAAATAAAAAAAATTCGACCATACTGTAAATCGTACAAAGTAGCTGCAAACATGAAGGCATTTTTTATTCGCACGCTCGCATCAGTTTTGAGGTACCCATTTAATCAAATCAACATGGCCTAACCTGCAGCTGGAGCACGTAATTCATGACCTACAGTTTTCCCTCCTTGACTTTAAGAGATCACATTTGGCTAAAGGACAATTTAAACAAGAATTCGAAGACCTCATATCTCCATGAAATATGTAGAGTTTTTGTAATTTTTTTAAAATTTGTCTCATTGATTATTAAAACTAGGTCGTCGTCATTACCATAATCTATTTTAATTTGTGCACCTACCCACCTACCAAATATGAAGACAATCCATCAAAGCCTTCCTGAATTATCGTGTTCATAAACACACACACACACACGTACATACACACAAACACACACACACACGTACACACACACACACACACACACACACACACACACACATACATACACAGACACACAAACGCCCCTGAAAAAATAACCTTCTTGGCGAAGGTAATAAAGGCGGACTTCAAATGTGCGAAAACACACACACACATAGGCAGATCAAAAACAATAGCTCCATTTTTCAAGGAGGTAACAAAACGTGTTTCATTATATTAACCGTGTGTGTGCTTATATCATACAGACACTGTTCTGTATGATCCTGCCAATGACACATGTTCTTTATTACATACAAAAATATTTTGTCACAGTGAAACCAAGACACCGTCCCCCGTAATTCCCAGCTTGTGCAGAGTCAGGAGGGGCCACACGTACGTCAGACATTTCAGCCAAACTTTACCCTATTAATGTAGACCGGCTGTAACTTGAGGTCATGGTTTGGATTGATTGATGATCTCTGGGTGGAGGTCTATAATTTTGAACTTGTTGTCAGATGAAGACACGCTTGCATAATGGAACTCGTTGAGCTTGGTACGGTAATCCTAACATACCGGGTTGT